ATTGAATGTATTTGAATTCATTGATGCATTAATATAGCATAATCAATTGGCCATGGCATATCGTCAAAATAAATGACCTTCAGTCTTGTGTTTGTATGGTTGTGAAGTCGGTTTAAGTTGGAAACGTTTAATGATGTCAATTAATTATTACATTGTAAACATTAAAATACTGTAAAACATTTGTTTTGCAATTTTTTTATTTTTATTTTACGCGTCAGCTGGTAAAAACGATCAAATGAATACGGCTTTTGTAAAAAGTAACAGTTCAGAAAAACGTACCTTCAACATTTTGTTGTTGGTGTAATTCTATTGTTAGTGGGCCGTTAAACAATATCCCATGTTAACACTTCGTCGAGAAGTCATGATGGCGTAGCAGGGGGGAGGTAGGTGTTAATGATTTCTCGTCCGCGCCTTCTATTTAGATCTCAGATTAAAGACGGGATATTATAAAGCCACAAAAAGAAATCCCCATGCCGGTGCGCCTCTTTGTTGTTCAGCCCCGTGCCGAGCTGTTTGCATAGGTGCCAAGAGACTAGACGTCGGTCAAAGCCGTGTCGTAATAGGTTGTTGGGCTACTGATTTCTTTTGATAGAACTGATCCATCACGTCAACATTGCACGGACAGTGCGGATATCATGACGTGAAAACTGTGAATGTATCTGCAGTTCACTTAAAAGTTGTGCATCTTGTTGCGGAATGTTGATAAGATTTCCAAGCTCGCAGCAGCCCATGGGCATGTGTAGGCTTTTATCTTGTACAAACTTCGCGCTTCATGAATAATAGAAAGGACAAAGAAAAGATACAAACACGTGATAACAATCAATGACAGCACAATCTTCTAAAAAGTTACGTATATACAACATGATAAGATTTCTTTAGTTAGGCTTAACCCATTTGAAATCTGGAGGAGGGAGCGGGAAGATTTTGGAGAACAAAAATGATGTGGGCTAAAATCAAGGGAAAAATCCCAAGTCTCAATAGTAAGAAGAAATAAAATGCTCTCTCACCATAAGTGAAAACAGCCTCTTACTGAAAAAAAAAATAATGTTCAGACATGCTTTCAGGAAGAAAAAAAAATCCCTGCCTGCAGTTGACCATTTTCTTCCAGGTCCCTCCCCAGATTCCAATTGGTTCATCCCTTAGTTATTTAGCTCGAACTAAATTTTCTATTTCACCTTCACGACGCGGGGCTGTGCGCAATTTTGTACGAGGCACAATAATTAAAACGTCGCGTTCGAATTTCGCGTGAACGAACAATGTATTTCACACGCGTTGCAAACGACGCATTGAAACCATATCGCACTCGACGCTTCGTAAGATTTATATTGCATTGTGACATTCCGCTGAGTCGAGATCTATCACTCTGTGGTTGAGCTGCTGGATCGCATCCCAGTGACTCGTAGATACATTATAGTTTAAAATACGTAACCAACGATGTAGTTATTTAGAAATGTAAGACTTTAAAATCACATAAATATATACTAGTATACATATGTGATAAGCAGCTATTCAATACCCACCACGCACATTACTAGCTTTGGTAATACCGGGTAATTAATACTTCAAACCAAATGTTCCAAAATGATTCATACCACACTCGGAAAATGAATCTCCACAGATAGCACCCGATGATATTTGCGATAATACCTTCTTAACAGAAAAAAAATTCATCTGCAGGCCATATTTCTCATATTTCTGCAGGATGCCATGAAACAAAATAAAAACAAGTATAAGAACACCGCTCGCTTTAAAGGTTAAGACGGTCTCTTTTAACACCGCAGATCGAAGTCATTATTAAAATAATGCCTTGCGTATTTTAAGATTAAAGTAAGATCTCTCCCGAGGAACGAAACGAGGCCGTATGAGCCCCATTTAAATATATACATCATTAAACTATAAAGATTATATTGATATACCCTATGATAAAAGTATCTACTATATATATAATATTACAATCGCATTTATTTATTTATTTATTTATTTATTTATTTATTTATTTATTTATTTATTTATTTATTTATTTATTTATTTATTTATTTATTTATTCGTTTGTTCGTTTGTTTATTTGTTTGTTTGTTTGTTTGTTTGTTTGTTTGTTTGTTTGTTTGTTTGTTTGTTTGTTTGTTTGTTTGTTTGTTTTGTTTATTTATTTATTTATTTATTTATTTATTTATTTATTTCGAGCCACTGTCTTAATTAAATTAAATTAAAGATCGGTGGTCGTCGCACCGTGCCCTGTTCGATATGGGACTCACAGCGACGTATATAACGCGTGTAAAATGTTTGTTTACAGTAAACTCGAAGACGCGCTGCGCGACGATCACCGCCCATTAAATCAGATGGGCAGCGTTCAGTGTCCAAAGATGTTAACATCCACATAATCACCAGGTAGAGTGGGAGGGAGAGTGAACACTCCACGAGTAATATGTCATGCACTGTATTGTGCCGAAACAGATAATGACGTACTTCTTTAGAAGTAACTTGTAGTAATAAACGTTTCATTACTCTACCCATTGCAAATAGTACGTTCGTATTTATTGGCGGCGACAGAGGGGAGGGGAAGTACAGGTTAATATATATAGCAGAATACAACTTACAATATTTAATAACGTTGAACGCGAAATCAGATAGCAAAAAACTGATAAGAGTCACCGGCGCAAGTCGGCTTATTTATCCCTGTAGGCCAATGCGTACTCGAATTTCATGCATTTATTTCTCCAAGGCAAGCAATTGCGAGATCAATGGCATTCCGAGTAGCGGTATATGGGTGATACAGAGAGCACTCTGTTCTCCTGCTGTGATGTATCAGACCATCGGGGCACGTTCTTCGCAAACCGACAAAGAGCCACGCAAATTATCAAGCCAAAGTATAGGAATAAAATCGAATCTTGTCAACACGGCGCACCTGCCGAACACCGCTGATTGTCAAGATATTGAGTAACAAGCCGACGTGACATCTCAACTGTACCGTTTTATTAATATGTGCGGTACCATTGCGAGTAATAGCGCACAGTATCTATGTTATTAGCAATACATAGTTGTCCGATAACGTGCGTTTTCTTGTAAAGGCGCGACAATGACATAATAAAAAAAACAGTCACCGAACATGAAAAAGTAATAAATATTACGATTACCGGAGATTTCTCAATTTTGATAGTTATCATCTAATCTAAACATTCGACAATTATCTGATCATAGAATTTAACGTTACCATAATGATCGGAGATTATTCGAAATTTTAGAACGCGTGACGTATTTACTGCCTACTTTGATGATATCTGAAAATCGTTAATTTTTGTAGAATATAACGTACGCATTATTTACAGTTAAAAGTCTTTTATAATTTTCGATCTTGAAAAAAAAAAGAGAATCTCTAGAGGCATTTTAGAAGAATTATCTGATAACGTCAATGCTGTGGCTTCCATACCCAATGTCTGTGGTGGTACGATGTTGTGGTGGAAATGTACTAGACATAAATGACAGAAAATTGGTTTACTGGTAATTAAAATTAGTCCCCGACGTAAAACGGTGTCACTTGTCATGTGTCAGTAGCAAGCGGATGGGTAGAACTGCACGTATATTCATTTAGCCATTTTCAAACTAACCCACTCACTGTAATAAAACGCCACCCACTCTTTCACTTTCAGTGACCCACTTTCATTCATTCATTCATTCATCTACGTACCTCATTCGTTCGTTCACTCGCTACTAACTCGCTCGCTCAATGCACATCCATCTTCACTGCTCATTCATTCAACCAACCAACATACATCGTGTTTATTTCACAAGCAGCTTCCTCGTATTCGCCGAACTGATCTGATCTGGAGCAACGAAATAAAACTATTTTGTGAGTGGAATTTCACCGAAACCCTTCAAGAATGTTATGGATGCAATACAACCAATTATTTTTTTAAATACTCGCCGCTGTCCATTAAAACCTTAGTACTTGCGAAATGCAATTACTTTTTATTAGCCGGCACCATGCTACACTTTCTTGAAATCAGAATGAATCAATGGGTGCCCGTAAAACCAGTATTTTTTTAAAAAGTTTTCCGACCTAAACATTTCCTAAACGAGGGCGTAGTTTATCATCACTCAGCATTTTGTGTTTACTAACTTTAATGATAACTGCGATTATTACTAAATAATATTTTTACTCTGCAAATACCATCTGTGTGTTGTGTACGGCAAGAACAAACAAGACATAAATACATTTCAAATCTAAATACAATACATAATATTAAAAGGAAAATACAGGCGGGTGCTATACAGTTCTGTGTAAATTCCAAGATTAAAGAGATTTGTCAACATTAAACTACAGCCCGAGCCGCACAGGGTCGAACCAAAGCAATGACGTTCGATTCACACCTTGAATTTAATTCAATTTATGTTTTGAAATTTCCATAATATTCTTTGTGAAAAATAACATGCCTTCTTTATGTCAACGCGGAAATGTGACTCAACACGACATCGTATCATTTTACCGCCTACTCTCACAAATTACTGACAAACACTATGTGGGCTGAAAAAAAATTGCATTTTAAATTAAAATTGAATAATCATGAGAATATACCGTTGAATACAATGGACAGAGTGTCAGTTTATTGTCACATCAAATGTGTTATTGTATTACAATCCTAGTAAATGGTTTGGCTAATATTTGAATCGTAGTAACCGCGGACAAAAAAAAAAACTGTCAGTTGTTAGTAACAGGTCTCCACTTGACTCCAACACGAGAGCTCACTGGAACCGTCCAGTGATGCCGTACAAACGCAGAGCGGCTTTCTTTGTACACTTTTAATTGTCCAACTAAATGTAATAACAGTCTTTTTTAATGCAAACTATTATCTTGATATTTGTACACGGTCAAGCGCGTGGAGCTAATTCACGAATGGGTGTCACGGGACAACGGAAACGGTTCCTTTGAAGTACCGCTAATGGCGATGCGAACAGCATGGGACGAAGGGAGCGAGGGACGCCTTGACGTAATATTATTTTTTACGAGAGGGTGAGGTGATGTGACTGACACTGATGGATTAAGGGGTCACCATAAAACGATAATTACTGGCTTCTATCCAATGCGATGTGTCATATCAGATGCCAGTAATTTCCTCAATCAACATCAGCGATTTAATTGCAATCCAAAGCAATCAAAGTAACCGACAAACATAACACGTAAATATATTAAATACATCTATTAAACAAATAACCTTTGTAAACAAGGTACGTTATTGTTCTTATGAATTCTCGTAGGACATTTTCGATATCGGTAGTATGGCGACCTCTAGTGGTGACATCATGCTATCACATTCATATTTACAGTTATGGCTAAATATGTAAATGCAATATGTACATAATTACTAGCGCGTACTTGAAAATTCATTTCAGGACTGCAAGATAATCCAATAGCCAGTATGAATGACCCCCATCATTACAAAGGTCACACATCCTGGTATTTTCTGTTGTCATAGAAACACAAATTGCTGTATATTAGAAATTACTGCTATTACGGTACATACCGTACCATTTCTCCTGGAGAAAAAATTAATAATCAAAGAGCAGATTGGATTCATACCAAAATTTGGGACCCGCGATCACATTTTTGTGTTAAAATAGTTGCTAACAAAACATACTACCAATGGAAAGTACCTGTTTGCATGCTTTATCGATTTCAAAAAGGCCTTTGACTCCATCTGGCATGTGGGTCTTTTACACAAGCTCAGAAACAATGGAGTCACTAGTAAATTTTATAATATTATTAAAGCAATCTATACAAACTCTACTGGATGTGTGAAGGTTAAAAACGGCTTGACCAATACTTTCCCAATTGAGAAAGGCATCAGACAGGGCGATGGTCTAAGTCCGCTGCTTTTTAATATATACTTAAATGATATTAAAAGTCACATACTAGTAAATGCATCACACACTGACCCACCAACTTTATTAAATAACCAACTTCCATGTTTGCTCTATGCAGATGACTTGCTTCTGCTTTCAGAATCCAAGAGAGGTCTTCAGAATGCGATCAACTCCCTGCAATTATACTGCCACAAATGGAAGTTGGACATCAACATTAAAAAATCTAAAACAATCATATTTAACAAAGCAGGTAGACGCCTAGACAAATATAATTTTTTTTATAAACCAGGATGTACTGGAAAGAGTGACATCATACACTTACCTTGGCATAAATTTAAATACAACAGGGAACTTTGAATTAGACAAAGCCCAGGTAGACCTAAAAAACAAAGCTCTTAAGACCTGCTTCAAAATGAATCAGCTGTTATTTTCGGCAACTTGTACACCACTCAGAATTCATTTGAAGATGTTTGATGCAGTAGTTAGACCAATTCTCCTATACTGCACTGAAATATGGTCTAGTGATG